GCAGGGGGCGCCCAGGGAGCTCTGGGGAGGAGGGGAGGTCCCGGGGTGACTGACATCACTGCCTGCACTTTGCACAGCTGGGGGTAGGGGCTGGGCACCCGCATTCATAACTCAGGCCTCACCCCCGAGTGGGCACGAGCCAACCCCAGCGGCCCCCTCAGCTCCCAGGTGCAGGGGGCCCAGGGCAGACCTAGTGGTGGGGTCCCCGTGGGCGAGCCGCCGGGACCCAGACCCAGTGGGCAGCTCCGTGCCGGCTCCGCATGGAAGCAGGTCTCCCTGGGGCTGAGCTGGGAGCAGGGAGCCAGGAGGCAGGGTCGGCTCCCCATTGGGCAGGGGTCTCTCCAGCGTTTGGTCCCCAGACGAGGGGGGCCTGGGTGGGTGTGGGGTGCAGGAGCTGCCCCAGGGGCTCCTGATGGGGACCCACTCCCGGGACAGCAGCCCGGGCAGGGAGCAGGGGAACGGGACACGGGCAGTGGCAGTGGCATTTCCCAAACTGCAGACCCTATGGAACCCTGTGGTGTGCTTGGTGGAAACGCGGATTCCCAGGCCCGGGCTGCGGAACCCAGGGCCGAGGTCTGAGCCCACACCCCGCGGCTCTGAGAAAGCCGGGCCGGGCAGAAGCGCCTGGGCGGTTGCTGACTTTTCCAGAAAGCTCTCTGTCGCCCTAGTTCCCTGGGTTCCACTCCCCAGAGGCACCCTCTCCAGGGCTGACCCGTCCTGCCCCACCGGGTACCGCCCCCCACCCCGGGCTCTGAGGATGGGCACCGTGTCCCCGTGTCCCCAGGGCAGGCCCCGGCCACGCCACTCACCCAGGAGAAGCCAATGCAGCCGATGGCCCCGCACAGCATGTCGGCGAGCATGGCCGGGTACGAGCTGGCCGTGGGGAAGTAGGCGAAGAAGCGGGGGCTGTGCCAGTGGGTCACCTGCGGGGGGACGGGCGGTCACTTGGCGCGAGGAGCCCCGAGCGCAGGACCAGGGCTCCCCGTGCGCACGGCCGGGGACGTGGCTACAACCAGGGCTGGAGCTTCCGGGAGGCGTGTGCGTGTCGGGAGGCCAGCGCGTCAGAAGCCTGTTTCCTAAGAAGGTCTAGGCGGGAAAATGTGAGAGGGCCTGCTGGTGCCCGGCGGTGCTCAGTGGTTAGAGCATTGGCCCTCGGACAAAGGGGTCTCGGGTTCGATTCCCGGGCAATGGCATGTACCTCGGCTGCAGACTCCATCCCCACCCCCCATCAAGGTGTGTGCGGGAAGCAGCCAGTCAATGTGTTTCTCTCACATCGATGTTTCTCTCTCCCCCTCCTCCCTACCCTCCATTCTCTAAAAAAAAAAAAGTAATAATAATAATAAATAAAACACTTTAAAAGGCCTGATGGTGGTCTTGCTGCCACCCCACCCTCTCCTGCTCAGGCCCTTCCTCCGGCCCTTCGCCCTCTGTCCCCTGCCCTGTGAGTCCTGGGCGGGGACAGCTAAGGTGCTGATGAGGGCCAGGCTGGGCGACCTTGGGGTCTGGGGAAGGAGATAAGGGAGGAGTGGAGACGGGTGTGGCCCAGTTTTGCTTCGTTAATGTGTTCTTGCGCCCGGCCTGCCCGGCACATAGCACCCCCTCTGGGGAGGAGGGTGCAGGGATGTCATTCGCCCCCACGCGGGGCTGTAGCTCTCGGGCGTCCAGGAGACGGGGCCCAGCGGCCTGTCCCGACCCCCGCCCGGGACCCCGAGACCTCGGACCCTGGCG